CCCGGGCCCGGCTGTCCCCGGGCAGGACTCGCTGTCCCCGGGCAGGACACTCTGTCCCCGGGCAGGACTCGCTGTCCCCGGGCAGGACTCGCTGTCCCCGGGCAGGACTCGCTCTCCCCGGGCAGGACACTCTGTCCCGGCCAGGACACTCTGTCCCGGGCAGGACACTGTCCCCGGGCAGGACTCGCTGTCCTGGTGTGCACCCGGGAGCGGCGCAGCCCCAGGCGGGACCCGCAGCGCACCCCCTGTGCTGCCAGCCCGGGGAAAGCCTCCTGATCAGGGCAGAACACGATCCCCACCCCGGAGGGTCCCGCGGGTGCCCGCAGCGCAGTCTGTGCGCTCGGAGCGCTGTTTGATGGGATAATCGCTCGTTTGATCAGAGAAGGGCGCGTTGCGTGGATTTGTCAGGAAGCGGTGGGTGGCGGTGCTCGTGGGGAGGAGGAGGAGGGGGCAGCTCGGTGTCAGGAGCCGCCTTTGATCGCGGGGATGCGGCAGGAGCCGGGCTCAGCCGCTGCTCTCCGAGCGCTGGGGACCTCCCGGCCATCCCGGCGCTGGGAGAAGCCGGGTGTTAAAGCCTTAATGGGTGATTTGTAAAGCAGCAGGGGCTTTGCAGCCCCCAGGGGCAGTTTCGGGGATGTGGAGGCCGAATCTCTCCATGAGAGCAGCCCGGGGACAGGCGGCATGAGGAGCCTCACAAACCGACCTCGCTTTAGCAACAGGCTGGCTTTGGATGAGGACAGAGCCGATACGGAGCAGATCCTGCGGGTGGGATCATGCTTTTTGTCAGGCCGTGTTCTCCTCTGCACAGCTGGCTCAGGTGTGACACCTCCTCCCGGGGAGGTATCGGGACATTCCCCCGTAGGCCTGGGGGGTTTGTCCCTTCTCATGGGGCACGTGTGACTCAGCTGGCCCTCAGGTGGGATGGGAGGTGGTCCTGGAGCTGAAAATGTCCCACGGGGAGCTTTGGTGTCACCTCCCGAGCTCCGGAGCCCTCACTCGCGTCCCCCCGAGCTCTGCCCCACCGCCCCCTGCGCTGTCGCTGAGTCTCCTTGTCCTGCAGAGAGATGCCAAGGGCCAGTACCTGTTTGACCTTCTCTGCCACCACCTGAACCTGCTGGAGAAGGATTACTTCGGCATCCGCTTTGTGGACCCCGACAAGCAAAGGGTGAGAAGAGCCCCTCCTGCCCGGGCTGGGGGAGCGGGGCTCAGCCTGGTCCTCCCGAGCTGAGGCAGAGAATCAGGAGCTCTGCCCTGCCCTGCTGCCGGGCCGGGGGCTCTGGCTGCTCCTGACAGGGCGTCCCTTTGCCCAGGGGATGGGGAATGGCCCCCTGAGCCCGCAGGGGACCCGGGGAGGGCTCTGGGATGTGCCCGGCCCTGGCAGCAGCAGCCCCGGTGCCGTAGGTCGGGATGTGCTCCCGGGGGCTCTCCCGGGGCCGGGCTGAGGCATCCCGGAGTTTGCAGTGAGAGAATGTGATGCTGTCGTGAAGCGAGGAGCGAGGTCCCCTGGCAGCGGGACCATCCCTCGCACGGATTCACGCTTTAACACCGAGACTAGGCCACTTGGCAGCTCTGTGCCGACGATCCAAGCGCTCGCCTGCTGCCCCGGGCGATGGAGAGTGAGCCAGGCAGGACCCTGCAGCAGGGAAACTGAGGCACTGCCCAGCTGGGCTCCCCCCAGGGCTGCACCCTGCCCCTTCCTGGGCCAAAGAGGCTTGTGCAGAACGAGCTGTGCCCGTGTCCCTGCCCTTAGAGCCCTGAGGCTCCCCACCCATCAACACAAGGCTCGGCACAAGCGATTCCTGCTCCAGGGCTCCTGATGCTGCTCCCCCCTGCTCCCCCCAGCTCCCTTCCAGCGCCGCTCACCGACGCTCAGGTGGCTTTTCAGACCCAGAGCAGAACCCTCCTCTTCCTCATCCTCCCCAGCTTACCAACTCACGGCTGCCAGGCTGTAATTACCTTTAATCACCTTCTTTTCCTTTCAGCACTGGCTGGAGTTCACCAAGTCGGTTGTGAAGCAGATGCGGGGTGAGTGTTGCAGGTGCTCTGTGCTCCTTCCATCGCAGATGTATTCCCATTTTCTCCAGCCTGCCCCCTCTCCCGGCCCCTCTGCCAGCAGCAGCTTCCCCCAGGAGCTCTGGTGGCTCCAGAGCAGGATTGTCCCCAGGAGCCCCAGGGCAGCACAGGGCACCAGCCTGCAGGGAGAGCAGGGCAGGAATGATGGGCTGAGTGACGCCGGGAGCGGGAGGTGGCTCGGTGGCAGGGAAACACTTCCCCACGGCTTTATCAGGGACATCTGCTCCTGCCACGGCCACTGCCCTGGGGAGCGCCTGCCCCTCTTTTCCGAGGGCAGTTTGGGGGAACGAGGCGGGTGAGACCCTGAGCGGGGCCGGAGTGGAGCGGGGCGGGTCAGGGGTGACGGGGACAAGCCCTGCCCTTTGGTGACACGGTGTCCCCGCTCTCTGCAGCCCAGCCTCCCTTCACCATGTGCTTCCGTGTCAAGTTTTACCCCACGGACCCCGCGGCGCTGAAGGAGGAGATCACCAGGTGAGCAGGGGTCCCGCATGGGGGAGCGGCCAGCCCCAGCAGCGGGGGCTGGCGGGGACAGAGCACACGGAGCAGTTTTGTTCCACAGTCAGGACAGAGCAGCAGCCACTGGCATTGCCCAGGTGCTCTGGGACTGTTCCTGCTGTGGGGAGAAGCACGGGAGTCCCCCCTGTGCTGAGGCAGCGCCTGGAGCTGCTGTGCTTGGTGGGGAGCACAGGCTGAGGGGCTCAGCCCTGGCACAGTGCCCAGAGCAGCTGGGGCTGCCCCTGGAGCCCTGGCACTGCCCAAGGCCAGGCTGGACACTGGGGCTGGGACACCCTGGGACAGGGAAAGGTGTCCCTGCCATGGCTGGGGTGGCACTGGAGGGGCTCTAAGGCCCTTTCCTGCCTGAGCCATCCCTGGGCTCTGTGGTTAAAGCCCCTGGCTTGGTCTTGGGCTGCAGTCAGCTCCCAGCCCAGGTTCCAGGGTGGAGCACTCTGAGCATGGCCCCGGCTCTGTAACGCAATCGCTGCTGCTCAGACTCCTCCAGTTCAGCCACAGCCCTGCCCGAGCACGTCCCCAGCCCGGGGTGTCCTTACTGTGCTGGGCTGTCGGGAGGGGTTGGAGTGTCCCCGCTCCCCTGAGATTCCCTGGCAGCATCCAGCCGTGTCCCTCTGACGTCAGGAGCGGAGCGAGGAGCAGAGCTGACAGCACAGCCTCTCCCAGTTCTATCTTTAGGGGCTCTTCACGCTGCTCTTCCTGCCTGGAAGGACACGAGGAGCCCGCACAGAGCCACCAAAGCAGCGGCTTTGGACACTGAGCCGTGGCTGTGGATCTGCAGCATCCACAGCTGTGCCTGGGCACACGGAACACAGAGAAGGATTTCCTCCCAAAACCTGACCTAGCTCTCCCTTCTGTCACCCCCCACAGGTCCAGGCTGAGCTGCCCCTGCTTGCTGCCCTTCGAGGTGTGCCTGCAGCTGCAGCTGGAACCAGGCTTAAAATTCACTTTTCCCTGGGCTGAATCCAATTTAATACCAAGATTTCTCTTTAATGTATTTTATCTGTGAAAATTAATGGTTTACTTCATCATAAACTCAGATTTGAGCAATGAGGCGTGACAGAGGACTGCAGAGTGCGAGTCTGGTTATTTAAATTCATTTCTGAGCGCTCCATTTTGCTCCTTCACTCCATGACTTATGTTGTACCAGCTAAAGGTTTTCCCAAATGCCACATGACGCAGCCCAAAATGTGACTTAGGTTTAAATTTATTGGAACATGTAATTTTTCCCCCATAGTTTGTCCTTTAACTGTGCACAGGATGGGGAGCAGAGCGGGCAGCTCACCCTGGGTGATGCAGTGCTGGTCACAGGGACGTGGGGGCATACACCGAGACCTAGAAGGACACAGAAAGTTTGGGAAGGAGAAAATCACGTTATGGGGAAGCTGAACATCCAGGGGAAATGCAGCAGGCACTGGTGGGCTCTAGATCACCAGATCCCCTTCGGAGCACCGGGCACCTCGGCTGGGCTGGGGGAAGGAACACGATGGGTGTCCAGGTGATGGAGATGTGCAGCAGCCCTCGGGTCAGGAGCTGCCCCGGAGCAGGCACGGTGCACCTGGAGCACCATGGCTGGAAAGGGGCTGGGATGTGTGAGTGTGAGCCCCAGTCCTGGCCAGGAACAGCCTGGCGAGCCCCAGCTTTGGTAAATGGGCTGCTGGGAGAGAGATCTCAGAGCTGGTGGCAGATATTGCACGTCTAAACTGGCTGTTGGGGTGATTTAAACTGTCCCTGGTAAAGAGACTCTCCTCCTGTGCCCAGGTACTTGGTGTTCCTGCAGATCAAGAGGGATCTGTACCACGGGCGGCTCCTGTGCAAGACGTCGGACGCGGCCTTGCTGGCTGCCTACATCCTGCAGGGTGAGCAGAGATCGGCTTTTCCTGCCCAGGAGCCTCTCCTTGCTGCACTGGCTGCAGGAATGCAGCTCACTGCACCTGCAGCACCCACGGCACCCCCAGCGCTGGGCTGGGCGAGGCTGGGGACAGCCTGTCACCTGTCCAGGGGACACGGTGTCCCCAGGAGCAGCCCCAGGGCTCAGCCAGCCCCTGCCCTCCTGCCTGTTGTCCCTCCTGCTCCTGCAGGGGGGAATCGGGGCGGTGAGTGCCCCAGACAGAGAAATGAGCTGCATGCACCGAATGCCTGACAAATGCGCGGCGGGGCCGGCTGGGGATGCACCCTGTGCTCTGCTCCTGCTGCTCTGCCCGATTGCATCTGTCTCCCCCAGCTGAGATTGGTGACTACGACCCAGGGAAGCACCCGGAAGGCTACAGCTCCAAGTTCCAGTTCTTCCCCAAACACTCGGAGAAGCTGGAGAGGAAGATCGCGGAGATCCACAAGTCGGAGCTGAGGTACGGGAGCTGCTGTGATGCTCAGAGCCCTTCAGTCCCTGTCTGGGATCCTCACTCAGCAGTCCCCGTGCTCTTTTTTCCCTGTTCTCCCCTCCTGCAGCGGGCAGACACCAGCTACTTCAGAGCTGAATTTCCTCAGGAAAGCCCAGACTCTGGAGACTTACGGGGTTGACCCACACCCGTGCAAGGTAAAACAGTTCCTAAACCCATTCCTTGGGCTGCTGCTGGGGTTGGATTCCTGTCTGTGGCCAGGGAAGACCCCCTGAGCTGCCAGGGACTGTCCCAGGTGCATTTGTCACCTGCCAGCGGCTCTGGGGCTCTGCCAGCCTCAGCCCCATCCCCATCCCTGGCCCGAGGGCACGAGGGGAGTGGGGAGGGCTCTGAAACCCTCCCGGGGTGTCAGGGAAGCCGTGGGGAGGCGGTTCCAGTGCCAGGGTGGTGGATCCCCTCGAGGTCAGTGACATGGCATTAATCTGCCGTCTGATGGGACAGTCCATCCCTCTGCCCTGCCCAGCCCACAATCCAGTTTGCTGCTGGAAATGCTCTTTATGGACTGAGGATGTCACTGCATGCGGCTCTCTGGCCCCTGGTAACCCCATCACATGCAGATGGCTGTGGGACACAAAGCAGACAGAAAATTCTCCTCTGGGGCAGTGCCTGTGCTGGGACCTTTCCCTGGGGCTTTTCCCTGAGCTGTGCCTCACGAACCCACAGCTGCAGTAAATTGGGGGTGCTCCCCGTTTTTGGGAGTTTCTGAGTGCCCAAGAGGTTGCTTTGCTCTGAATTCCCTCTAAAGCAGTGGTCTTGCCAGCAGCCACCCACTTGTGACCTTTGCTGCTGGAGTCAGGTAATTGCCATCCTTTTACTCCAAGAACCTCTTGAACAGACCCGAGTTACACTAATTAATGTTCTTATAACAGCTCAGGACAAACACACTCCTATGTCTGTCAGCAGAATTCTGCCTAATTCATCAAGAGCTGCCTTTAATTATGCTTAAAAGATCTGGAAACCAAAGTTAAATGAAGCTGGTTCTGTTCTCTCTTTTCCAGTGGATTGTGGAGAAGTTTGGGTGAGGGGTTGTTCCCTCTCAGCCATCCTCAGTTCAGTGTCCCATCACTCAATCCTGCCTGCAGGTTTCATGGTGCTCTCATAGCGTTCTTCTCCCCAAAAAACAAACACAGGGAAAGATCTTCCTTTGTTCAGCAGGGCTCACCTGAGCCCTGGGCTGTCCTTGGTCCTTGTTTTGTACGTAAATCCCCGCAGGAATGTGTGTTTTTGTGTGTGAGAGAACGGCTCCTCTGTTCTTGGGATGGACAGAACTTCTGCCCTGGCCAGAGAGAACCTTGGAATGGTTCTCATTGGAAAAGAACCCATTGAATCCAACCATTCCCCACCACTAGCCATGTCCCCAAGTGTCACATCCACACATTTACTGAGCCCAGGGCTGTGCCCATTCAGCACCTGGGCCCTCCCAAGCCTCTGCATCCAGGGGAACACATCCTCCTGCTTCCCTTCCCAGTGCTTTTCCCAGCCTTGGGAAGGAGCCAAAGCCCTGTGGGGCAGACACACAGGAATGTCCCTCCTGTGCCAGCCGGGGCTGTGGCATCCCCGGGGGGGCACTTTGGGCTTCCCCCCTCGCCTGTGCAGGTGTTGGGCTGTGGGTCAGCACTCTCTGCCTTTGACAGCTGAGATGGACTTGTGTTCTGAGCATCTGCTGGCCCAAAAACGCACGGGAAGAATGCAGCCACTGCTGTCCCAGAGCTGTTTCACCTTTGGACAGTCCCAGCCCCGCTTTTCCCTGCTCAGTGCAGTCACCAACCCCTCCCCTGGAGTCCCTGGGGCTGGGCTGAAGTGCTGGCACTAATTCCTGGCTTTGGGCTGGCTCACTGCCACCCAGGGCACCGGCTGGGCACGGCTCCGAGGGAGGGAAGTACAGCTGGGGGCTCTCGTGTTCTGGGTTAATTGCTATATATAAAATATATACATATTTAGGACATGGACATCAGTGATCCTTGTGGGTCCCTTCTGACTCAGGTTATTCTGTGATAATATAATAAATAGCCATATTAAACTGTATATATCATAGTAATTACATATGCCAAATAAATAGTGTATATCTATATAATATCTATAGATGCTTACACGGAGTAGTATGGCTACAATACATGCTACATAAATGTACATTAATTGCAACAGTTCTAACACAGTATTACATTAGCAGCATCATTTCTATAGATGTCAACAGGAGGTTTAGCACAGAGGATGACAGGTAACCGTGGCAGCAGGCGGGGTGGGCAGTGCCCAGCCCAGGGCTGGGGGCACAGGTGACATGCCAGCTGTGCTGATGGCCAGCAGCTGCACCAGCTCTGCTTGCCTTGCAGGACGTGTCCGGCAACGCAGCATTCCTGGCCTTCACCCCCTTCGGCTTCGTGGTCCTGCAGGGAAACAAGAGAGTTCACTTCATCAAGTGGTGAGTTCACTTCATCAGGAGCTGAGCTCACTTCAGGAGCTGAGCTCCCCCCGTGGGGTCCCATCGCTCTGTGGGTGTCCCCTGGGGGGCAGGGGGTGTGCGGGCACTGGGCAGTGCTCCGTGCACCCTGAGCTGCTGCCCCGGCCCATTGCTCTCTGCTTTTGTCCCCGTGAAACTTCATCATCCCCACCTCGGCCACGTCCCAAAGCCCTCCAGCCCCTGTCAGCTGTTCTGGGTCACTGCAGGATGTCCAGCCTTGGCCGGTGTGTCCCTGGCAGGTGGCACTGCCACCGGCCGGTGTCCCTGGCACTCAGTGTCCCCCACTGAGCCGCAGCTTCACCCCGGGCTGGCCCCACTCCAGCCATGGGTTTGTGAGCCAGGGTTTGTTTCCCTGTGCCACCTCCTGCCATGCACACCAGGCTCTGGGAGCTGCTGGGGGCTGGCTGGGCTGGATGGGCTCTGCACAGCTCTACCTGTACAGCCCCACCTGAACAACCCCACCTGCACAGTTCTACCTGTACAGCCCCACCTGTACATCCCCACCTGCACAGCCCCACCTGTACATCCCCACCTGCACAGCTCTACCTGAACAACCCCACCTGTACATCCCCACCTGCACAGCTCTACCTGAACAACCCCACCTGCACAGTTCTACCTGTACATCCCCACCTGTACAGCTCTACCTGAACAACCCCACCTGTACAGTTCTACCTGCACAGCCCCACCTGCACAGCCCCACCTGAACAGCTCTACCTGTACAGCCCCACCTGCACAGCCCCACCTGAACAACCCCACCTGTACAGTTCTACCTGTACAGCCCCACCTGCACAGCCCCACCTGCACAGCCCCACCTGCACAACCCCACCTGTACAGCCCCACCTGCACAGCCCCACCTGGCTGTCCTTGTCCCCGCAGGAACGAGGTGACCAAGATGAAATTCGAAGGGAAGACTTTCTATCTGTACGTAAGTCAGAAGGAGGTGAGTGCTCCCCCTTCCCGTCCTGGCCACAGCGCGGTCCTTCCTTCCAGCGCCTTCTCTGGGGACGTGGCAGCGGGGCAGGGACATGGGGACAGCAGCTGCAGCTCCGTGCCGGGGCTGGGGTCAGCTCCCTCCGCAGAGCCCTGGCTGGAGCTGGCTCCCACAGGAGCCTCAGTGGGGGTTTTTTCCAAGCTGTGTTCCTGCCTGTTCCCCAAGGCCGGGAGCAGAGTGGCCGCTGGAGCACATCTGCCCATCCCTCGTGCCGGGTGCTGCACCAGCCTGAACCCTGCATCCCAAACGGCTCCAGAGCAGGATCTGCCTGTGCCAGATCTCTCCCCAGCTCTGGCTACTCCATTCTTTGGCTGTGGGGTGAGCACCTCTCCCTGCTCTCCCCCGACTCCCTGTCTTTCTCCTTTAGGAGAAGAAAATCGTTCTCACCTATTTTGCGCCGACACCAGAAGCCTGCAAACACCTCTGGAAGTGTGGGATCGAGAACCAGGCTTTCTACAAGTAAGTGCCGCTTTGTGGGGTGTCCTGCAGCCCCTGTGCGTTGGTGCCCACCTGTGGGGTCGGTCACTGGCCGTGTCACCTCGTCCCAGTGGCCCTGGCAGAGCCACCAGCCACCAAAAGCACCGGTGCCCTGGATGGGGGCCCGTCCTTTCCCGGCCCCTCTGTGCTCATCCCTCCTCAGCAAACTTGCATCAGGAAATTATAACTAATTATTTGGGATGAAGCCTGGAATGCAAAGCAGCACCATCCTGTTCATGCCACACTTAACCCAGGCCGCTTTGTGCTTCATAATGAGTTTTATTTCAATCAGCAAGCTGTGAGACAGAGCATGCGATGCATTCCCACCGGGAATTCTGCAATCAGCAGCCGCAATCAGCAGGTTCCACTCCTCATTACATCAACATGAAATGAAATTGCCGTATTGCTTTACAAATCTCCCGGTGATTGCCGGTGGCACTGAATCACTCTGGGCTGGGCTGGGGGATCGGAGGGTCGGGGGTCGGGCGGTGCCTCTGGGCAGCTCCACCCGCCCTGGCGAGTGTCCCCCTGCCCAGCAGGGCCCGAGTGTGTCACCCTGCCGTGCCCAGGGCAGCTCCCGGCCCCCGGGGAGCATCAGCGGTGTCCCAGCCCCGAGGAGCTGTGGCCGTGCCCCGGGCAGTGGCTCCATCCCGGGCACGCTGCTGATGCAGGGATGAGCTGTGCTGTCCCCCCGGCCAGCGCCAGCCACCGCTGCCAGCAGCGGGGACATTCCTGGGGACATCCCGCAGCTCCAGGGCTCTGTCCGCCGGCCTGGCTGCCTCCCAGTGCCTCCCAGCACAGCAGGGCTCTCACACTGGTGCTGTTGCAGGTTGGAGAAGTCGAGCCAGGTGCGGACGGTGTCCAGCAGCAACCTGTTCTTCAAGGGCAGCCGCTTCCGATACAGGTAAATGGTGCAGCGGGAGCAGCGCTGGCTGTCAACTGTGAGCTCCTCTGGGGAGCACCTCGGGGCTGCAGCAGCCCAGGGACACCCCAGGGTCTTCCAGAGACCCCCCATTGCCATGCTGAGCCCAGCAGGCCCCCTCTGCTGCTGTCTCTGTGTCACAGAGGCCACCCCTGTCCCCAGCCCCACAGGAGAGGCTTTGGAGGGACAGGAGTGGAGGGTGGGAGAGGATCTGGGGGTTGAGAACCATGAGGTGTGACACAAACCACCACTAGCCCCAAATTCCTGCACTGAGCTGCTGGAGCAAGAGGCTGGACGTGGGACCTCGTGTCTGCGGGACGAGACAGCCCAGAGTGTCCCCAGCACTGAGGAGCACAGTGCTGGCACCCTCCTGCCTGCCATGGCAGATGGGAGGACCTGCATGCCCATGTCGTGTCCACCTCAGCCGAGGGGAGGTGACCCCCTGTGTCCCCCTGCCACAGAAGCAGCGAACTGTGGTGGCAGAGGTGTCAGCCCAGCCTTCCCAGCTCCTCCACCGCCCCCGTGCCCCCGCAGAAAACACCTCAGCTTTGCTCTGGAGCTGTGTGGGGAGGGCCCAGGCTGTGCCCGTGGCTGCCAGGGCTCTGCTCCCGTCCCCACCTCTGCTGCTCTTGTCCCCCTGCAGCGGCCGCGTCGCCAAGGAGGTGATGGAGTCCAGCGCCAAGATCAAGAGGGAGCCCCCCGAGATTCACCGGTGAGAGCCTGGCAGCAGCTCCAGGGGAGGGACCCGGGCTGGGACAGTGGCTCAGGGCACTGCCACACGACCCTGGCACTGCCACATGGCCCAGGCACTGCCACAGGGCCCTGGCACTGCCACACAACCCAGCACTGCCACACAACCCTGGCACTGCCACATGGCCCAGGCACTGCCACATGGCCCAGGCACTGCCACACAACCCAGCACTGCCACACAACCC